GCCTGTCAACATTTCATTACAAAAGACAAAAGAAGTAAAAAAAGCAGAAAAGTAAAAATAATTAAGGTCCACATTTATTGTTAATGTACTTAAATAAAGCTAATACATTTAATTTTAATAATTAATTTAATGTCTGACATTCTGACAATCACCATGTGAACTAGATTAGTGAAAATTAATGAAATTAAATGCCACATTAATTAAAGTCCACATGTCATTAGATTACGATTAGTGGACATGAAATCCGTCATTATTTTCATGTAATGATGATGCACCCATGACGAAATGAAACCTTTTTTCTAAGCACAATTATTAATATTAATTTAGACTTTGACATCATTATGCCGTCACCCAAACATCATCATTTTACCTGGGATCGTTCCTTTCATGGACCAAATGGTCTTTTCATTATTTGCACGCCACTAAATCAACAGATACAATTATGAAAATTACTTCTGAATTTTAAGAATTTTAAGAATTTTTAAATAGAAAGTTTTCTTGTCTCACAATTTAACGTGGAAATAAATCAATTTTACAGAAATATTATTGCCCGTTATGAAACTATTCCGTCGGAGTTTGTAAAATCATCATATAATCGTCGGAGATAGTTGATGTAACGGTTACAAACCTCGATATGGTTTCGTAACGGCAGCATAGTATCTCTCTTAATTTTATATTAGAAATATTATTTCACGTATTGATTGGACGAGTTAAAAAGAGGAGACAAAGAATTCCACGTGTTGGTTGCTAAATGGACAAAGCTAAATAAAACAAAATGTCTCGGAAGATAATATAACACGTTGAATCTACGTGGCTGTTTCTGGTGCTTTGTAATCCTATGTGGCAAAATTACATGCTTCATTATTAGACTTGAGTAAATTTTAATTTAATTCTAAACCAAAAATAATTAGGTTCGTATTACCATAAATATGTTGATTATTTATGATCATGTTACATGTATCAATTACATTTTAATATATATCAAATTAATCTTCTTTTGATGAGCTTCGATTTAACATCCATATTCTATGTATAAAAAATAATTTATATTTATCTTTATAACAATAATAAAATTATTTTTAATATTAATTAAAAAAATAAAATTATTTACCAACTAATATATTTATATTTCAAGTAGTTATATGATATAAGTTATAAAAACTAATATAATATAACACATGTAAGTCATAAATAACACATATCATTCTAAAATATATAGTAATATATTTTTTTTGTAAAAAAGTAAACTAAATTTAATATAGTTTTCTCAGTAATTTTAAAATTTAAGAATAATTTTTTAACAAACACCCGTGTAATATACACATACACGAGTGTTGTACTGGTTAATTGTATAATTTAGTATTTTGCTGGTGAGTCTGTGATTTACTACATGGTCACAAATCCACATTTTACAAATAAAGAGCATACTTATATTATAAATATCATAATTTTATTATACTATTAATGTCATTTTGATTAAATATGTATATTTGTGTAAATGTAAAAGAGCATGTCGGTCTAACCAAAAAAAATAAAAATAAAAATCAATTGCTTTGTAATTTGTTCGAAAACAAAATGTAGTTAGTGCATTTAATGATTAAATATGTTACTCCACTATATTTTTAAAATAAATGTATCTATATATATATATATATATATATATATATATATATATATAATA